GAGAGGCTGGAAAAGAGACCTAAGTATAAAAATACTAAAGTTTTAACCTGGTCCGTAGCCTGTCCTAAAATTCTTTTACCTGTGTCTAGATGCTAATTTGTGCAACTGCAGGCCTGGAGGGCAGTCCCAGATCTCTGGAAGCCCTGATCTGCTGCAGGGCTGGCGATAGTTCTTTAAGGTGAAGAGGATGAGGACGCAGTGCTAGGAGGGTGGTTTGAGCTGCTGTAAAACTGACACAGGAACATAAATGATACGCTGGGCACTTAGCTAATTCTTCTGAAAGCTCTATTTTTCTGGACTAATTACAACAATAAAGAACGTGTGCTTTAAAGCATCACATTTTGTAATAAGCCCCAAATTGTCAGTTTGACTTTATGTTTAAGTGCTCTTAATACTGAAGTTGCTAAGACTGCACAGGCTGCCTGTGTTTTTTTTTTTCCCCCTTTCTTTCTGTATATTTCAAATTATAATGAGCTACAGCCCCACCCCGGGTATTGTACACAGTACACTGAAATAGTTTAACAAAGTTAGTTCAGAGCCATTTTTGCTCTGGTGATTCAAAGCTCACAGACGAAATTTTCTAGCATAAAATCTTATCATTAAAAAAATTAATCAAAATATCATTTGAATTTAAGTTTAATAAAACAGTACCACTGTATAGACTCACAAAATCTGCATTATATATTCAATCCTATGAGGTTTTTACTTGCTTTTCATATCACACTGGTTAAGGACAAAAATAAATTTGATGTAATATACCATATTCTGATGTACAATCTACACGTTGATACAATATAGATACATACAACTATAAATACCCACAACTACGACATTGGCAGGTGACAGAAGGCATACTCTTTGATGCCTGACATACTATCAATATTCTCCAAAAGCCTGCAACACTACAGATACACATGTAAATTACAAAGGATGAGCCAAAGAGACCTAAGGAAACCTACTGTATATACAACTACTTAACTTGCGATATTTTCTTGCTGTTGCAGTCAAGTCCACAGACTGTCATGCAGATTCACACCTTTACTGGCACTCTCTCTCTGAAGACATTCTCTCTGCAGGCACTGGCCACTCACTGTCCTAGGCAGAGGCTTTCCGCTCGGGCTTTGGGTACTCTGGGCACAAAAGGAAAATGGCAATGGCTTTGGACCTTGGTCCTCCTTTTGAGAGTGAGACACTGAAAAGAGAGCAGAAGCGGTGACAAAGCACCTTTCATCACTGTTGGGTTATTCTGTGTGAGCTACTGGTCTCTGAAGTCCTCTGGGTAACTTGGTGCTATAAGATGTCCAAGGCCAATGGAGACACCTGTTGCCCGGGGCAGATTGTTGGCCTGGGAGAAGAGACAGCCAGAAAGCTTTGGAACCAGGAAGGCCCAGAGGCTCATCTCCTTACAAAAGCTGATCTTCTGTCAGAGTAACTCAGATGCTCCGTGAGAAAAGCAGGTGCTAGTTAAGCCCAAGTCACACTAGTCATTAACCAGGCTCTACTGTGAACAAGTCCTGGGTGCCACTCTGATTCCTGTTTAACAGCGCTAATCTTATAATTGCAAAAATTCTGACAATTGAAAAGTGAAGCAGGAGGTTGGTTAAGCCCAAGTCACACTAGTCATTAACCAGGCTCTACTGTGAACAAGTCCTGGGTGCCACTCTGATTCCTGTTTAACAGCGCTAATCTTATAATTGCAAAAATTCTGACAATTGAAAAGTGAAGGGATCAGGAGGTTGTCCATTGTTGCAGCTAAGGAAGGTGGCTCCCCACCTGCTGAACCCTTGGCCCGGTCCACAACAGCTACACTACAGAGCTTTGGACCACAAGGCTGAGAACGCCCTGTGAACTTGGCCTTAAAAAAGCTTAACGGGTGACTACAAGGAAAAATGCTAAAGAATCAAATTCCAGTGACCACTAACTAAACCCAAGAAAGTGTTCAAAGTAAGACAATGGAGAAACTTCTTTAAGGTCAATTTTCTTCCAATTGTCTATGATTAGGGATAAAGGCAGAGAAGAGGTGCAGCTGGAGGCCAAAGCAAGCCCTGCCCTACCTAAGAATGTCTTCCCCGGCTCTTTCTGTGCTGGAAGGACAACAGGCCAGGGCTGGCAGGAGGCTCCTTCCCTGCTGGGTATATAAACCCCTCTCCAGCCTCAGGGGTTCTGTGCTTTGGCCACAGGGCGAAACACAAACACAAGAGACCAACCCTAGACTGGCCTTGGAGAGCCAGCCAATTTTTTTTCTCCCAGAATTAACTCCCTCACGTCACTTCTGACCAGGAAACACTCATTTTTGGAATGAGGATCACAGCCAGAGAAGCAAAGCCGGTCCTGCACAGGTGCTCTCCATCCTCTTTAAGCAAGAGCAACAGAAAAGGTTCACATGGTCCAGGACTGCAGTCCCCCAGACGACTCTCCACATGAGGTAATTAAAATGTGCAGAAGTGTTGCTTGGTTTAATCAGGCATTACTAAGAGTCAGCAAATGATATCTGTAAAAAGCATACTTCAAATAATGTCTATGGCTGGCAATAAAATAAAGACTCTTGCATGCTAGTAATTAGGTTTTGATTGCTAACAAGGAAATCCTGACCCCTCCCTGTAAATGTCAACATGTGAGGTGGGGGAACACACCCTGAGACACTTTGGTTCCGGTTCCACACACGGCTGCTTCTATGGACAATTCGGCAACAAGACCGTCACCAAGGTATTTTGATGACTCTCAAGATTTTCTATACTAAAAATTAATATTAGGTGTATTTCTACAAAGAAGAATAATAACTTAATTGGTGGAGAGAGATCGCAAGGCTCCTGGTACTGAGGGATGGGTGAAGGATGGGGGGCAGTACCTTCAGAAGGGAAGGAGGGGGCTCCCCTGTACCGTGAACTGGGTGGCAGGCGTGGAGGGACTGTGAAGGGGAAGGTCTTCAGTCATGTCTCCCGACTAGACACCACGGGAAAGAAATGATCACAAAGGAGACCCTGGCTGGCTATGGGCAAGGCTCTCAGGATCCTGTCACAGGAGGGGCCTTGTCTCCTACAGGATAAGCTCTTGGCCTGCGAGGAGCACTGGCACCAGACAGTCCAGAGGCCTCAGGGGGAGGTGTTCTCACCCCATCCCCTAACAATGGCAGTCTGGGATCATGGCTCACAAAATAACCTTTGCAGTTGTTTTTCAAGATAAACTATGGGAACGCAGTATATACCACAGCTTCAAAAGTGCCCTTCTCATCTGTTTCTCTATTAGCATATCCAGAAGTTCTTGGAGATAACATTAGTGAGTCACACAGTGAGCACAACGCCGTCGTGGTGCTGATGCTGACTGGGCATTTCGGAGCTGCTCGAGTGTCTAAACACTGCAGCAAGGTACCATTCCATGTCTGGTACAGACTCTAAGTGACACACACGGAGACATTCGACATACACAGACACACACATACTGGGAGCACACACATTCAAGCCAGTCAGGGATGTTGATTCTCCTTTAGTTATTGAAGCTCAGAGATGATACGGTCTAGGTAGCTCTCTCCCCTCTGCTTAGGATAAAGATCTATGCAGAAAGCACACACACTGATGATTCAGATTCTAGGAAGAAAGACTATTCCCTTGTAGAAAGCTTGGGTTCAGTCAGAAGCTACAAAGAAAGAATCAGGTACATGGGCCACGTTGGTAACTACCCTGTTTGTTTCTAGGTCTTGAAACATATTTAGTCACTGCCTTTACCTAATAAACAAGATAGAGGGTTAGAGGGAGTTTTTCAAATGTGTGGCAAAAACACCACAAAGCAAGCAGCTACAACCTTACGGAGGGGTTTCTCTTTTCTGGGCACCAGCAAGTATGGGCATTTCTACAGCTGAAGGAAGTGCATGTTAATAAACAGTCCTGTATAAATGCTGGTGCATCAGAACAAAATACCACTAGAAAGTACCATGGTTCAGGAGCAGGTTTTCTCTAATTCCCCGGAGCCATGCTACCCACACAGAGTCCCTGAGCCTCTAGTCACACAGCACCTTAACTAGTAAACCAAGAAGAAAAGAGCAAATCTCTGTGGGAGAGAAAAGAACATTCGAAGTGATTCCATTTGCTCTGAACTTGTGGAGATTCTAGGTTTAAGGATCACAAAGTTTTCAGGTTCCAAAATCAGAAAGTTCTAACTCACAGTGGGCTCAATTTTCACTCCTTTCTTCTCCTCAGTAAGAGAATGTTCTGTTTATCACCCTGAATTTCAAAGGGACTGTCCCTGGAATAAGCTTATGACTGCTCTGAGCAGATACAAAGAAATGATTTAGAATCAAGGATTTATTTTAGGGGACAGTTCAGTGCAGCAGGGTGAAGCGGCTTCACAGAGACAGAGACAAGAACAGACTAAGGGACTCTGTTTGTCACCAGGAGATTCCTCAGTTTTCCAGCCATAATTCCTTCAGATTTTTTTCCTTTCAGATTTATTGTAAAGAATCAACATTCTATTGCCAAACAACTATAGGGAAAAACAACTTTTTCCTTCCTTATTTTGCTTTATTAAGGAAAGCATGAAAGGGGCTCCATTTTGATATTATTTTGTTAGGAAGACCCCAAATTCTTACAACCAGGAGACAACACCATGCCTATATATATAAAAGAACCTAATTCCCGGATGGCAGGGTATCCACCACAGATGGCTCTGGATTCCTTGTCTAGACCTTGTGGGAGTGGGGTAACAACTTCCTGCAGATCAAAAACACAGCTCACTGCTGCAGCCCCCGAGAGTCCATTGTTGCCACCATCCTTTAGAAAACAAAATGAACTTGGGGCCACCTTGCCTCAGCCTTCAAAAGACGCCACTTCCTCCTTCCTTGCTTGGCTGAAATGGAATCTACACTTCAAGCGAGCTAACGTGCTTCTTAAATTCCCCAGTCCTGAGGTCCTTGCCCCACTCTACCCCCACCAGCAGGGCCGGACTCAACACTAAGCACTCAGATGCGTGAGGCCTCAGAGGGGAGTGGCACCTCCCGTGAGTGTAACTCTTAACTGAACTTCTGCGAGCACGAGAGCTGGATTCCACCTCTGTGACTGGGCAAGATTTTACATGAAAAGGCTTATATTAACTCTGGCTAGAATTTTCTAAACTACAAAGTTTGTCCAGTTAAGTGTTTCACAATGGATTAAATCTTTAACCTTTATAAAAAGTGTAACAGCTGATTTGAGAACACACTAAACAACTGAGCAGAGTGCAAATGAGAGAACCCTGAGGGAGAAGCGATACATAATCCATTCTGAAATCATGATCCCCTCCCCTCACAAAAGGTGCATTAGTTATCAGGTAGCAGAAATCATCAAAGCAAAGAAATCAAGTGCAAAGAGACAATCTGTACAGAAACTAACAAAAATATACAATAGGAAAGGTTACTAATGCACCATTTAGTCACAGACTTTGTTTTAAATATATTCACGGATTCACCAGAAAGATCTTGAAAAACCCTATTTTGCTCCACGACCAGCACTTCCTGGCCGCAGATGGATTCTAAGTGACTTTTTGCTTAATGCTTGGAGTTTCAGGTCGGTGGTCTTTCCTCTCCGACACGTTTCTCTTGACCTTGGCGGTGACCGGAGATGCATCTGGGTTCAGCGAGGGACTGGAGTGCGACTTCTTCAGGCCCGCGGCGCCCCCTCCACCGCTGCTACTCAGCAGCTCCAGGCCCCCCTCTTTCAGAAGGCAGACATACATCTCATAGCGGGTTTTCTGCAGGGAGTCAGAGAAGAGGGGTCAGTACACTGTCACAGGCACACAGCACAAGGCGCCAGCGAGCTCACTTCCCGAAGGGCAGGGCTGGCAGCTCAGGAGGCTGACTGATGGTTTCATCGATTCGGTAAGATACAAAGATAGAATGTGAGTTCTCCTTTGTTCTGCATTCTGCAGGAATGGCTATGAGATGGAGGAAGCCTGCTTCCTGAACATTCAGCACAAGAAAGTGTGCGTTGGAAGAGCTGCGGCCTCCGGTTTTGGGGACCAGATGGCTCTCAGGCTCAGGCCTGCAGCCACTGGGGCCGCCCCACAAGGCCGTGGCCAAGGCCTCCCCTGAACCTGGCTGGGGTGCAGTTCTTTATTCCCAACTTGAGGAAGCAGTTGGTGGTGAACCTGTACTCCTGTCCCCTACGGGACCACTAACACTTCCTAGAAGATGCTCTGGGTTTCCTGCTACGGCTTTTCTGCTAGGATTACCAACTTCTCAGAGTACTATGGTTTCTTGCAAAACTTCAAATTATTCCCTGATGCTGTTCTTTATTCTACACATTTTTTTTCATCAACTGTTCATTGAGTGTCTACTATGTTTTGAACGGCTCCTTGATTTTCTTGTCTCTGGGTATCTTTTTCTAAGAATAATTGAGAAGAACACTGCAGAGATTTATTTTCTCTAACCTTTACTGGTGCTGCTTTTCTTTTCTTAAGTTTGTATCTGAGTCACTATACAGAGCTATTGTGTACGTAGAGCAAATTACAGAAGGGTCTCAGATTCTTGATTTGATAGATTCTAGTCAAAACAAGTCTCTCATCATACTGCTTCAACACATGAAGGATCTGTAGAAGGCCTAACGTATTTTCTTTCTAAGCAAAAGAACAGCTCAGTTGTAAATTGTCCCAACAAAGGCAGCAAAGTCTTTTATAACTAAGTCTTTTAGGGATTTTTCTGGTCAAATTGAGATTTTATATATCTGTTTTAAGTTAATAGTTATGAAGGTGAAGCTACTTGAAGCTACTCTTTCAAGTTGTTTTGTTCAAAAGTAGGGAAAAGCTGCTAGTCATTAAGCTTGTTCTGGGTTTGGTCAGTAGCCATGTTGAGGTGCCAAGCTTTGGTTGACGATGATTACATTATGGGGTGCCCACAGGCTAACTTGAGGGCATTAACACAAGAATCATATACAATTGGTACGTTATTATCCCTGTTTTACAGTAAAGGAAATAGAGGCAGAGATAAGTCCAAGACGGTAAAGAAGTGAAGCTGGGATATGGACTCTAGAACCCATACTCTTAAGCTGCATTTCCTTCCTGGGTGTGAAAATATATGCAGGAATGTGTATTTTAGGATGACAACTCTGAGAGACTCTGTAGGTTTGGCCAATCAAAAGCCATTTTCAACCCCCCTCTTCTCCTATGTCCCTCCCACTGTTGATAAAACCAAATACTTACTTTCCCAGATACTCTTGCAACTAAGATGGGCTGTGTGATATTTTGGCCACTGAGTTATAAGGAGAACTCTCCTGGGGGACTTCTGCAAAAGCGATTTTGCTTTCTGATGACAGGGGTAGGTTGAGAGGAGAAGCCACTGATGCCAGCCCCTCACTCTTATTCCTTCCTTGACATGGATGTGATTCCTAAAGCTGTAACCCTGTGACATGAGGCAGCAGGCATGAAGGCAAAAGGACAGCATGCTAGGCCTGAGGGGAAATGGAAAGACAGAAAGAGCCCGGGTTCTTGATGACACAATGAGCTGGATCCAACTCTCAAAGTCCTTACTGCCTCTGACCGTCTTGTTAAGTATGAATAACAAATACCCTTTGGGGTTAAGCCACTGTTAATCAGGTAATGGTTTTTTCCGCCACATTTTTTCCTTCTAGTTTCTTCTGAGATATAATTGACACAGAGCACTGTATAAGTTTAAGGTATACAGCATAGTGATTTGATTTATATACATCATGAAAGAATGATCACAAAAAGTTTAGTGAACATCCATCATTTCATATAGATACAAAAGTAAAGAAATCGAAAAAAAATTTTTTTTCCTTGTGATGAGAACTCAGGATTTACTCTCCTAATGACTTTCATACATAACATACAGCAGTGCTAATATTTATCATGTGTTTCATTACACCCCTACTACTTATTTATCTTATAACTGGCTGTTTGTACCTTTTGACTGCCTTCATCACATTTCCCCCTCCCAACTGGCAGCCAGAAATCTATTCTCTTTTCCTATGAGTCTGTTTTTTCGTTTGTTTCTTTTTGATGTATAACTGACCTACAACACTATGTTAGTTCCTATTACACAACATAGTGATTCAACATTTCTATACATTTCAAAATGATCACCATGATAAGTCTAGTTACCAACTGTCACCACTCAAAGATATCACATAGTTACCGGCTATATTCCCCATGCCCTTGACTCAAATTTTATTTTGCAACTGGAAGTCTGTGTCTCTTGATCTCCCTCACCTATTTCTCTCCTCACCCTACACCTCTCCCCTCTGGCAACCACCTGTTTGTTCTCTGTATCTATGACTCTGTTTCTGTTGTTATGTTTGTTCATCTGTTTTGTTTTTAATAGATTACATGTATAAGTGAAATCATATTGTATTTGTCTTTCTCTGACTTATTTCACGAAGCATAACACCCTCTAGGTCCATTTGTGTTGTCACAAATGGTAAGATTTCATTCTTTTTTATGACTGAGTGGTATTCAATTGTATATATACCACATCTTCTTTATCCACTCATCTGTTGGTGGACACTTATGCTGCTTCCATATCTTGGCAATTGTAAATAATACTGCTATGAACATTGGGTGCATTATCTTTTTGAATTAGTGTCTTCATTTTCTTTGGATATATATACACAGAAGGGGAATTGCTGATCACATGGTAGTTCTGTTTTTAGTTTTTTGAAGGACTGCCATACTGTTTTCCACAGTGGCTGCACCAATTTTATTTTTAACTGAAGTAGAGTTGATTTACAATGTTGTGTTAGTTTCAGGTGTACAGCAAAGTGATACAGTTTTATATAAATCTGAAAAAGAACATATATATTCTTTTATAGGTTATTGCAAGATATTGGAAATAGTTCCCTGTGCTATTATACAGTAGGTCCTTGTTTATCTATTTTATATATAGTACTGTATATCTGTTAAACCCAAACTCCTAATTTATCCCTCCCCACTGGCTGCACCAATTTACAATCCCACCAACACTGTAGGGGGGTTCCCTTTTCTCCACAGTCTCGCCAACATTTGTTATTTGTGTTCTTTTTGATGACAGCCATTCTGACAGGTGTGCGGTGATATCTCACTGTGGTTTCGATTTGCATTTCCCTGATGATTAGCGATGTTGAGCACCTTTTCATGTGCCTCAAGTACTGTTAATTGCAGATGAAAGCATCACTAATTGATACACATTCCAATTTTAGTAAAGAAGTAACAAAGGAATAAAATATTAATCTTTTCTCAGAAAGCTATCAATACATAAGGGTTTAATAAGGGCATATGCTAATAAAAAATATGTCATCAGTATTACACAGTAGTCTATGCAACAGTGAAATCTAAAGTCATGTTCATTCTAGGAATTTAGAGACTTAATCTGTCTCTAAACTGCCTTGGTGGCAAGAATAAAATGCAGGAAAGAACTGTATTTTAATATGAATAAGGTTTAGTAAAATGATCTAAAGACAGTTTAAAAATACATTCAGAAAATTAATGTAAGGCATACTATTTCACAAAACTAGGGCATTTCTACAATAAAAGGGATATGAAGGACAATTTTTTGAGATGACTTGAAAGAGGACAAAAGAAGAAAAGGTGACTGGGCCATTTTCTACTGGCTTTTGAAGAAACTGACATTATTGGGAAAATTCACCAAAAAAATGCATAAAGAAAAGCAATTTCATCCACTCATTTTACAGCTCCAGCTGCAAATCTGTTGCCCCCATAAATTACATCAGTGTGTCAATCAACAAACAAAAGGCAGAGCACAGAGGAGTGGCAGTATATGAATCATCAGATGAGAAGAAAAGACAAAGCAAAGCAAAGGGTGAAAGGGGGCCGGCAACCAGGACTGCTCAGATGTTGAGAGAAATAAGGAAAAAAACAATGTGGGTTTGTTTAGGAACTTCCAATGGCTGTGCTCTATTTCTGAGTTAAAAGGGCTTACAGGGACACAGGCTACTAAACCCAGTAATAAAGCTTTGCTTTCTACCATTCTCTGTGGCGAAGCCAAATTCCTCTGTAAAATATTTTAGGAAAACTTATCTTTAATCTCAGGACTCTTCAGGACTACTGGAAGGACTGTGATCTACGTTCTTCTGGGATTACAGACTCACCAAATTTGTAAACCTCTATCCAGAGGCTTTAAAGATTGCCTCTGAGCAAAGACAGGCAGCTCTGAATGCAGCCCGAGGAGTGAAGGGTTAGGACTGCCCGCAAAATTCTTCTCCAAGACCTCTCCTGACTTCTCCCCTCCGGGGTGGCAAAGTCAGACTTCTTCCTAACAACGCAACCATGTGGCATCTTTGGGAGGGTTTATTTCCTTTTTTCCTTTCAGAGAAGACATGACTCTCTTTTCTAAGACCAATCCTGAAATTTTTTTTAGGTTAGAGCTGGTGTTTAGGGAAAAGCAGAGCAACAGCAGGAAGTGTACTTCTCAATCACTTTTTAACCTGATGTGCCAGTTCAGAGACTGAAAACCTGAGGGTCATGTTCCAATGGTCAATCTCAGCCAAAGAAGCTGGTAGAGGACAGAGCAGCAAACACTGTTTGCTGCTTCCCTAGCAGCCTCCTCTTGCAGCTGACGGAGTTGTGCTTTTCACTGAGGGTGTCATGTTCTAGCCTAAACCCAGGACAGGAATCGTGGTCTAACACAGATGGGATAACCCTCATCCCCTTGCCAGTCAACGTTGCAGCCCTGTGACCTAGACCTGGCCAGTGACATGTAAGGAGAGCCGACTAGGGTACTTCCATGGAAGCAGTTTTTGGTG